TTTCAATGCTTTCTCTTACCATATCTTCACATGTCTAGCTGGAATTACATGTTCCTTATTCTCTTCCCTCCTCAAATCCAAAGATCTGCAAACAAGCAAAATATTTGACCTTTAATATGCCTTCATAAAATAGGAGGATCTGGGAGCAGGTTAGTATTTTCTGGAAGTTTTCTGGAAGAAACCACAAGGTCTGTGTTCTGTCCACCATTCCATACAAAGTTAAGTGATTTTCAAGAGCTAGAAGACCTCCATAGGAGATGGTAGCATAGGGAGTGTCCACACAGGATTTCACTGTATATTTGAATCAACTTGATAACTGAGCCCCAGTTCAAAGGCACTACTAAGATGCAGGATGTTTTGCCTCCATGTGGGATTGTGCCAACATAGGAAGGGATAAACATACCCACCTATGCCAGGCTGCCTACAACAGCACAAGATGGATGTTCAGGCATCTGAATAGGAGCAGTTTCTAGCTGACTCGGGGCCAGGCTGAGCCAGTTCAAACATGCATGCCAAATATTTTGAGGTCCCTTGAGGACTGCACAACACAGGGCAAAGTGAGTTCCCTATCAAGGAACAAGAGATTGTTTCATAGCTTCTTAATTAGAGTCAACTCCACCCTTGCTTCAGAAGTATGCACAAGCAGGGAGAACATAGCAGCCAGCCAGTGAAGGAGCAAAGGCTTTTCCTTCATTTATCCTCACATTCCACCATCCATTGGCTTCAGCATCAGCAGTTTTGCAATAGGAACACGGCACTTTGAGCTCACGCAGGCAGTAAGGCATTGCCTTTGTGGAACTGGCTGGTAGGTCTGTGCAAAGACCAGCTATTTTGGTTACCTTTCTCCTTGCTCAGGTAGATCCAGCTCTCCCAGACACAAGGGCAGAGGCAACCAATTCTGTTGCTGGAGCGGTTTATAGTGACACCAAGCTGATGGTTTGAATCAGCAGAACTCTGAATACAGTATAACCCCAAGTGCAGTTTCTCACCTTGGAACTTTCCCAGATGGGCCAGAAAAATATATCATCACTGTGCCCTTCCTGAAAAAGAGATCCAAGCCAATGTTAGGGCACAGGTGGAAGGATGCCATTTCTTTAGTAGAGGTGCTCAGTAAGGACCAATGCCTGGATGCAAAGAGGACCTTGACATTTGCCATGCTAGCACATTGCCACAGGTGAGCAATTGAGCAACCATGTGGCTACAGGGCAGCAGGACACTCTACATGTTGAAGTGGGGCTGCAGTCCAGACAAGAGAGTAACACAGTTAAGAAGATTGGGATGGGATTTTTTTTTTGCAAGACCAGCAGTTTTTTGGAAAGAGCTTCAGCAGAAACTCTATTCCAGCAAGAAAATAAGAAAAAGCTGTATGCAGTTTGACTTCCCTTGAGTTACACCAAGGATTGATTTGGCCTGTTAAACTTATAACCATAAGAGCTAGGATTTAAAAATTCTACCCTTTCTCTGTCATCCTGGACCTATGAAAACACCAAAACCTGTAATTTAAAGGAACACAGAGCCAGAGCTACTTAAATCCACACCTTTTCAGAAAACTTAACTGATCTATAGCAAATTTATGCTAGCTAGTAAGGAATTTCCCAGTTGACACACTGCAGAGCTTAAAAGCAAGTTTAAATTCTGTTATATAAGAAGAAATATTACACCCTGCAAATCAATTTACAGACAAAGGATAAAATGGCCTATTAAAAAAAATATGAAGAGAAAGTCCATAATATGATGAATTCAAATTTTGTTTCAAACAGAAAACAAAAAAGGATTAAAATTAATTTTTGTTGACTTTGATTAGCTAACAATTAAGCTGTAAAACAGTGTCCATTTAAAAAGTCAGCATCTAAAGAGACAACATATTTGGTTTTGTAACAGCTCTCACGCATTGATACCTGACACGCAGTTCAGTAGCGTTTTGACATGCGATGACTTCCTTTGCCAGAATGAGAACAGCATTCAAGGAAAGATCATTGTTGCTCAGACTGTGAACATGAGGAAGAACACAACCTCAGCTGCTGGACCCAACAGCACACTCTTTTGTTACACGAATGACCTCTGCTCCACACCCAAACACCCTGAAGCACACATTCTTTTAGTTAGGGGATTTCTCCAAAACTTCAGAATTTTGCATTTAGGACCCAACAAAAGCATTATCAGATCACAGTTCTTCTCCGCAAGCTATAGCTCCCATGAATTCAGAATCAGAGATACTTCCTCTATGTGCAACAGAAGAATCATTAGCTGATTTTGGGTTATGTAGGGAATGTACTTTATACCTGTATGATTACACAACCAGCCCACAGTGCAGAGTTAAACTCTTGCTATAACAAATCCAATTTAAGTATGGCATATTAGTGTGGTCTAAACCCTCACATTTAAAACATCCCCAAAGACACAACACTAGCAACCTCTAAGGATTTATTCTTTAATTGCATGTTTATTCTGTTTCATTACTTGTTGAACATCATTAAATATGAAACATAAAGTCTTGCTGCTACAAATCCTCTGCTTGTTCTCAGGGCCACAGAGCACCATCCCTGTAAGCCTCAAAGGAATCATCCATGACAACAACACTGTATGTGTGTAATAGAAATGTGTGAAGGAATGAGGCTTACAAATTGCACTGGTTTCCTACCTTTTCCATATGACAAGCTGCTTCACTGTGGGACATGCTGGCATTTTCCACAAGCTGTTATCCAGTGTGCCCAGGAAAACAGAGGAGCAGGTACATTCCCCCTTTCCAACATGCTTTTAAACACTTCTAATCATACTGCAAAGCCAGTAATTAATTCTGGGATGGGGTCCAGCCATAACTACAGGTATTTTGGGTTCACCTGCTTGCACACAGGGGTATGTGGAAGACCTTTAAAGGCATAGTCACTCCCTTTTAACTGGGGTGGGCAGGCAGTGGCTTTGCCTTCCCGCAGGGGCAGCACAGCTTCGTGGCTACCCTTCTCCTGTAATGCAAACTATACTGAGACTCCAACACTTGCAGTAGCTCTGCTCTGCTCTGCTTTTCCTGCTGCTGCTCAAACTGCCCGTTAGCTTTTCAAAGGCTTTAAATCCCTTCACAAATCAGGCTGGCTCTCTCCACCTAAAAAGATGCAGATCCATGTTGGGAGTTTTCCTAGCAGTCCCTCTCATTCAGCACTGTGCTGTTACAGGAGTGTTAGAAGAAGGAGCACAGGAGAAGGGGGCTAACAAAAAGGCTGGGAAGACAGGGATGGAGCCATCCTCTCTTATGCAGAGGTGAGGCATCTCAATCTGAGGCTGACCAAGGGGAAGAGAGGTGAGGAAGCAGAAGAGGAAAAAGTGATGTGAGGAACCAAGTTGAGCACATGCATTGTAATTCCTGGAGAGGTGTCAGTGGTGCCAGGACTCCATTGAGATTATTTTAAAACACCTGGGTAAGAATGGTGAGGCTGAGTCTGTCTCAAACTGAGCCAGGCCTCCAGCACAGCCCTGTTAGCACTTAAATGTCTGTGCCTCAGCTTAGTGCCCCACATGTCCCCCGCTGGCATCTCTAAGAGTGAGTGTCACCCCTTAAAGACACATCCAGCAACCCTGCTCTGATGAGGATTTAAACTCTCTCTGATGCTATGCTTGGCTTCATAGTGGCTACAATTTTTAATAGGTTTAAGTCACTTTTACTCACTCTATTTTCTTAAGCTTTTCCATTCTGGAAAACAGGTCCATCACCCTCTTCACCTCCGGATCCTTTATCTGATTGTCCTGCAAGCTGCACACAGTTTCATTCTCGTTAGTACCCTAGGCCCCCAAGGAATGAGTGGTTGATTTGAGGGGCATTGCCACAACACACTTACTTTATTGCCTCAAGCTGGAGGCACTGTGATGAAGCCTGGACCAAGTTAGTCATCCCCTCAGCTGTGATACTCCCGCCTGTCAACCTGGAAAATGAAAGAATCATTCAAAGTAGAGGAAGGACCAGCATCCCGTGCAGCGCATGGCAAGCCTGTCTCAGATGTGGGTCTGTGCTGCACTCCCAGCACACCAACACAGAGAGGAGGTGGCCTGACTCTGCCACCTGCAACCAACTTTATACTCCTTTTCAACCAGGGCAATGCAATACTCCTCTTGATACTAGCATAAAACAAGAGCCACACATCTGTGCCACTCTGCATAGCACTGCATTATTCTCTATACAGTGCTGCACAGAGCAGATCAGTTTTGAGTGAGCAGATGTAATTAAACTGCAAGACAGAAACAGAGGACAGACAGAGAGAGAGAAGGTTCTGACCTTACAAGCAAAGACTTACTCTAGTTTCTTCAGGTTCCACATTCCTCGTAAGCTCTTTGAAAGAGCAGCAGCAAAGTCATCGCCACATCTCCTACTACGAAAGCTAAAACATGAAGAAACGGGAAAAAACATAAACACAACAGAAACCAAAATAAGCTTGCCCACAGAGCAGGTTAAAACACAATTTTAAAAAGAGCATTGAATTTCTTTCTTAGCAGCCATTGTATTGTGCTCTTTTTTTGCAGCATCTCTATCTTTTCAAACATCTGTTTAAAAAAAAATAAAAACATTACACTTGCACATCAACTGCCAATACCTCAAGAGACAGTTTCTGCCTTTTGATACAGTGACACCATGTGTAAGTGCTGCCACAGATGAAGAGTCAGCCCTATTGCATGTCCCACCAGAGTTAGGACCCTGGAGACAAGGGAGGTCACACAGGGGCAAATCAAACTCATAAAAACAGAGAGTGTCTAAGAGCTCCCATGTGATGAGCTGCTGAGTTACAAGAGGGTTGATTTCAGACCAGATACTTTAAATTTGGGTGGCAGAGTAGCCAGAGTTGTCCAAAATATAAGACACAAGGTTTTTAGGGGAAGTACCTCTTTCAGAGAAGGAACTGGTGGTGTTGGAAAAAACAAACAGACAAACAGGTAAGCTTTCAAGCACACAAGCTCTCCTTTGAATCAGTTGCAGAATGTACTGATTATGGGATGTATTGGTACAAAGCACCCTGGGTTGCATGTCTCCCACAGCGTTTTCGGAGAGCAGAAACCCACCTATGGCCCTGTTGCCCTAAGTGCCTCTGCCACCTTTCCCTAAATCAGAGGGCATCAAGAACAAGCTGCAGAGGTGTGGTGGCATGACGGACATGGCCCATGGTCATTAGGTACACATCTGAGGTGATGCTTCTTCTTTAGATAAGTTCTGTACAAGCAACATGCAGATGAAATGCTTGGGGTTCCACTGCCCTTTGCCCACCATTCCAAGAGACAGTACTCAAGAGTGCTAGTATCCTGCAGACCATAAATTAAAGCAGGCATGGACTCGAGTGTGTATGAGCTGGGGAAGAACCCCCCAAAATCCCCTGTTCTGTTCTCCTAATGCAAGGGAACAGCCCAACCATCCTCAGGCATCTGCCTAATCTGCTCTTTGAAAGCAGAGGACTCCATGAACTTCTCTGTGCCTTCATTAGCAATTTAGAGCTAGGATGTACCATCAAAAAGCTTTTCTAACAGTAAATGAAATGGTATTTCTATTCTTCTTAATGGAAGCAGAGAACAATCGATTACTGTCCTCTGTATAATGATATCAATATCCAGGAATCATAGTTTTCATGTCTCCGTTTCTGTTCCTCTGCTTCACAGCAGACAACGTCATTCCCTTCAGGTCAAGGTAATTCTCGCCCTGGATGCTCCCCATCTTCTCTAAGTCATTCACAGAAATACAGAATGAGACCAGTTCCACAACAGGATCCCAAGAGATTACAGCAAAGCACTGATAGAGAGCACCTGAGAGTGCAGTTGTCACCTCCTGTTCATCTGGTTTACAGTGATTTCACTTAGATCACAACTTTCTCATTTGCTTGCAGGATTCGCCCTGCCTTTGTATTGTCAAGAAATGCCTATCATTTTCTCTCTTATCTACTATACTAACTACCCTGTTGTTTTAATCAAAACAAAGAAACATACAAAAAATACAGCCAGAATGGATTAAGCACTTTAATATCCTCCAATCACTCATAAATTCATTATTTCATAAATTTCTTCAGTTTCAAGGTTATATCATTCAGATCAGAATTTCTCACACCTTCTTTCTCTCCCTTCTAAAACAAATACTAGGTTTGCCCTTCCAACCCCTTAGCCCTTCTATCCACCCACCAGCTCATAGCACTCTGTGTGCTTACCTCAAGTGCTCTACATTTTTACAGCCGGCCAGAACGTCCAAACAGTCAATGTCCATGAGACACCCTGCAAAATCCAAATGAGTCAAATCCTGGCCCGAGTTTATGACAAAAACCAAAGCCGACATGTCCAGAGGTGTCAGTCTAAAGTTTTTAAACTTGTACTTGAAATTCAGCAGGCTCCCGATGTGCTGGGCTACTTTGAGGTCTTGCGTTTCAAATGTGCAATGGCAGAGCTCAATGACCTTAGGCCCTGTCAGATGAGTGGCTGCCAGTTTCTGGAGAGACTGTAGGATTGCATCCTGCTTATCCTGCACCCAAGCTGCATCTTGTTCAGCTAGCAGCATGAGAAATGTCCTACATTCTTTTGACGACAAGCCTGAGAGAAAGATGTGAAAACTCTCCATGAACTCAGTCTTTGCCTCATTCTTTAAAGTCCACTTTGACTTCAAAGAGAACTTCTTCTTCAGGTAGTTCCTGTCAACCCTCTTACTTACCATGAGACACAGTGCTGCAAAAAACTCCTGCAAGCTCAAGTGCACAAAGGCATAGCCAGCCTCTGGGCAAGTGCCACTCATCTTCACCTCAAAGACAGTCAGCAACCCATGTAAGGAAGCAAATTCCTTTACGTGCTCTGGAATATCACCAACATAAAATACAAGCTTCTTATCTTCCAGGCCTTTCAGTGCAAGATCACAGAGACCCAAAATGGCCTTCCTGTTACACTTCAGCTGACCCTCCTCACCACCTGCACACTCTCCCTGCTGTTTGTTTATGAAGATGAGAAGCATTTTGATATAAAACTGTGTCATAGTCTGAGGAAGCTCCACACTCATCTGATGTTTAAGGAGCAAATACTCCAAACAGATGCACACAACATAACACAGAGCAGGGATGAGGCACATGCTGAGGAGCTTGGTGTTGTTCTTCAGGTGAGCAATGGCTTGTTCCTTGAATGAATGCTGATGAAAATAGTGGCTGACATATTCCTCAACCCTCTCACAGTCAAATCCCCAAATTTCTGCTAGCAGATCTACTGTGTTTAATAAGAAGTCAGGTAGTCTCTTAGGTCGGCTGGTGACCAACACTGTGCAACCAGGCAGGAGCTTCCCATGACAGAGGTCTGCAAAGAGCTCAGATACAGACATATGGGAGGTAAGAGTTGGGCCTCCCTCAGAACAGGATGACACATCCATGTTAGCTGCAAACTCATCCAGCCCATCAAAGATAATCAGTGTACGCCAGGCATTTTCCTGGAGGTACTGGAACACTGCATCAGGGCTGTCTTCTGGCTGAAGGAACAGGTCAAACAAATACTCCTTCAGAGTCAATTTTCTTTTTAACAAGTTCAGCTGCCGAAACTCAAACAGGAAAGTGAAGAGAAACTGAGGCAGGATACCTTCTGCCCATTTCTGACAAATCCTGTGCATTAGCATGGTCTTGCCTGTACCTGGTTTACCAAACAAAAAGATCACCTTTGTCGTGTCCGATGGGACCACACTACAAAACAGATCTGACACTTTCATGGTTGTATCCGCACATTCTTCTGGTTCAGGAACACCTGCCACATCCCCTCGGGGTTTATCTGTTCTCTCTTTTAAGCGGGGGACTTTGCTCTGCCGAATGACAAGGTTGACAAAGGCTTGGTTGAAAGCCAGTGGCTGCATTTGTTCCTGTGCTGCTGCTCCTGCTGCTCTCCTGCTTCCATATCTCTGGCAGATAGAATCGATGAGGAGATGCCGGTACTTTGCAGCTGGATCTGAGAAAGAAGACAACAGAGTGAGTATGAGGGTGAAAAAGTTAGTTCTGAGCTGTGACAGATCCAAAATACTACCACTTATACATAGAGAAACACTGGCCCTGATCAGAGGCTGCTCCACAGAGTTAGGTAGAGATGACAAATTTTGAACACATGAAAATAACCCATAACTTTTCCTATTTTTGCACAGGGGCCAAAGAAGAAGAAAATTCAGGGAAAAGGTGAAACAACTTTATATAAAAACTAAATCTTATTATCTCTTTAAGATAAGAATTAGGTATTGGTGTATGATGCATATAATTCCCTGCTAGCTCCCTGCTCACCCATGCTGGCCTTGTGCCACCCTTGCTCAGCTATCTGCACCTCAGAACAGACATATCTTTTGCTTTGAGAATTTGAGATCCCCGATGGTATCGGCATCTCGTTGTTGAAGAGAGAACAGTGGTGATAACTAAGGGCGCTCAGCACCTTCTGAAAAACCCTATCCTCAATGGTGTTAAGTTTGCTGAGTTTTGTCAGCTGGTAAGATCTGGTCTCCTGGGAGCACCTCCTCAAGGACTTTCCTGTATGCAAACTTTCAGCCAAAAACTGGCTCCAGCCCAGCTGCAGCTGCCAGCTTTGCCACGCTCCCTGTGTTCCCCTACCAGGCACTGGGCAGCACTGGACCGTGGGGATTGCAAGGCTAAAAGCAGAGGTAGAAAGGGGTAAAGAAGGGCAGATGATGAAGGAAAGGATGTGGACACTGGTGTTATACAGCCCGCAGGTCTGCTCAAGCTACCCAGTCTTTCCTGGAATTACTGCCTCAACTTTGTCATCACTCATCTATTCGGTTACTTCTCTACTTTAGGGTGAGCTGAAATCCTGAAATCATACAAGCTTTTAGTATGTTAGAGAAACTGTAGAGCCTTTAGTGGGTTTTAAATTGTTAGTGTGTCTCCTGATTTGGTTAAAAAAAGGCAAACAAATATAGGGATGACCTACAACTGAAGGCTTTACCAGCATATCACACTTTAAGGGAGTTCTTAGCCTATGCCATCTGCATCTCTTCTCCTCAGGTAGATTTAATATATCTCCGAAATGGAAATGGTTGTTTCTTGTTATTTGCCAGGCCCCGTTGTCTGTATATTTTATAACCTGTTTCATTAAGAGTTTATGCAGCTACGAAACAAAAGTTTCCCTCAATGTGGGAGGTTGGTTTCTCGGGTGTTTCTGCAAAGAAGTTAAATAGGTCCTTCCTCAGAGGAAAGCACACCACCACTCTGCTTCTGGGACATCTACATACCTAGTCGTTGCTGTTTAACATCCTTATCACTCACAGAGCTGCTGTGATGGCGGCGGCGAGCAAACCCTGAAAATTGAAAAGTCAGAAATGTGTCAAAAGAGCATTTTGAATGGCAGCTTATTAGAGCTAGGCAAGACTCTCCAGCAAAGCATTTGGGGAGCTGAAGAGGCAAAATTGGAGAGACAAAACTATTCGCAAATTCAGGCTGAGTTTGCAGAACTGCTTTTGCAAATGTTGAAGTAAAAGCAGAGGTGCATCTAGCTATAGAAAGACAGCTTAGGCTGGTCCTCAGGAGGCTAATCCATCCTCTTGTCCCACTCCAAATATGCTACAGCTCTCAGGAGTGACCTAGGGGTCTGGGCTGGTTTAAAGACCTTCAGTAATGGAGCTCCCTGAATTTCTCCAGGCAATTTATTCCAACACTTCAGTTTATTTATATAGATTTTCCTAGTGGATAACATCAATCTTGCCTGCCACAGTGTGATCTGCTACTTCCCTGTTCTATCCACTTGAGTGTTTTTGCAGAGAAGTCAGGTCCTTCCTCTTCCCTGGGACACAAGATCAGCTACAAGGATTCAACACTTATCTAATATTGGAACATGACTTTGTGCTTCACAGAGCTGTTAATATCTAGATCTTACCATTCTCAGCCAAGAGCAGCTGGGACATCAGAAATAGGGTGATGAAATAGCTCAGCAACAGCTGCTGGTGGAAGCCTGGCTTTGAAAATCTTTGCAGGAAAAAACATGAATTTTAAAAGGCTTGTTTTGCAAGAAATGTCTTAGGTTCAGCAAATGATGCTCAGATCCTTTTACTCAATCCCCTCATTTGCACAGTGCTAAGCACAGTGCTAAGTAGTGCCAGAACCTTAGCAAAAATCTATCGTAACAGCCCATCAAAAAGCATCCTAGGAAATGACCCTACTGGCAGCACAGCTGCGGGAAGGCAAAAAAAAAAAAAGAAGTATGTACAATTCCGGGTTTGGAGGAGCATACAGAATTAGAGAGAGCATCAAGGGCTACAGACAGCCTAATCAAAGACTTACACCACAAGCACTGCAAAGTTATGTAGGGCATGGAGGAAGTGGTTCTGAGCATATGGAAGAAGCCAGGCAGATTTGAGACAGAGGTAAACCGAACAGCAGTACCACATATCCCAGCTACACACTGTAGCAAAGCCCACCGCCTGATTTCTTGCAATTGTTTTCCACTCCTCCTTAGGATTTAAGTCCACCCAAAGCAGAATAAGCCCATGTAATGGACCTGAAAGAAAGCAGGAGCAGGAAATACCAATGACTAGACATATCTCAGCTCCAGAGAAAGTTTCCTTGTAAGTGAACCCAGCTGCCAGGTCAGCCTCCATGAGCTCAGCTGGCCAGAGAACACTAGGTGAAGGAGCTAGATATACCACTGTGAAAAGCTGCCCTGTATTTTACAAGACTGACCACTACCACCTCACTGGTGAGTCTTTTTTGTAGGCTGAGCGATGCACCTGCCTTGCTTTGAGCACAGGAACTGCTCTGTTACCCTGGGGAACAGGGCAGGGAACAGCCTTTTCTGGAGAATGCATAGCCCACAGATTCCCAGGGCTGTTTATGGTGATTAATTCCTTGTTCATTTATGGTGTTCTCTCAGATGGAGGGAACGGGCAGAGCTGAGAGAGGCATGAGCCTTTCCTTTCGTAACTGGTACCTAGTAACTTTCAGCACTATTTTCAAATTGCTATTCCACCAGCAACTTGTGAGATTGACCGCCTACTTACTAGGGCAGCACGGCAGCTAGCAGCAGCAGTCTGTCTGCAGAACAGAAGGTCGCTTTTGTGTTCAAGATCTGAAAACCGCATGCGACACAAGATACAGTAATTTGCAGTGCCATGACACAGAAGCAGACTCTGAGTGAAAAGGAGAGGCAGAAGTGTCTCTGTGACCATACCATCAGCAGGCACCGCAAA